TTTCTTCTCCTCGTTCTCCTCCCATTTCCCCTTTTCGCTCATTTATAAATGTACTTGTTAATCATGTCCATGTCCTCTTCTTTCTCCTCCTCTATCTATTTCTACTCTTTCTTCATCTTCTTCTCTTTCTTCTCCTTCTCCTCCTTCTCCTCTATCTTCTTCAACTCTATCTTCTTCTACTCTTTCTTCTTCTTCTCTTTCTCCTCCTCTATCTGCTACTCTTTTCTCTTCTCTTTCTCCTCTTCTTCTACCCTTTATTCTTCTTCTCTATCTCCTTCTCTTTCTTCTTCACTTTCTCCTCCTCTATCTTCTTCTACCCTTTATACTTCTTCTCTTTCTTCTCCTCGTTCTCCTCCCATTTCCCCTCTTTGCTCATTTCTAAATGTACTTGTTAATCATGTCCGTGTACATCTCATTTCAGTATGTTTGTGACAGTGATGTATTTATCATGTTTGTTCATCAGACAGCCGGGTATCAAAGCCCAATTACTACCAGTGTGTATTATCACCTGTCATTTCCTCAATACAGTTAAAGGTATAGATCAGTATTGGAAACGCCCCAATTTCAAAAAAAGAAATGGAAGCTCTTATTACCAATCATGTGAAAGAATATGTTTTGACTAATATGTGATGATACAAATTTTGCCGGGAAATCGCCTACTAATTGATATATTTGGTAAATTATTATATCTATCCCGACTGGATAGATATAACGTGGTCCCATACATCTTTCTGACTGTGTACAGTGGTTATAACTTTACCAAGACTGGGTCAAATTTCTTATCATTTTGATGATTCCAGAACCTTGCAGTACACACCAATACTTACATTGTATATATGCTAGATGATCAACCTTTACTGATTGATTCCACAACGTTTCTTTCACAATGCTATCGCATGACCAGAACTGGTCTATACCTTTAATGCCTCCTTCTTAATTAAGAACCATCTCCGCACATCAGTAAGGAAGCTGGTATTTGCAGAGATCTGCAGGGATGGCTTCACTTCACACTCTTTGTCAGTTTAATCCTTTTTCTAATTTTGAATAGCAGTTTCATTTTTTTGTTCAATATGCCCTGTTTACAGATTTTAATATGTGCACACGATTGACGAAGTTTAGATGATATTGCCCAGATCAATGTACATGTAGTCAACACACAAAGGTCATTTGTATTAAATACTGAAAATTGAGGAAATGTACAGTATTACAAAGAAAGAAGAAAAATAAGAAGGAGAAGAAGAAAAAGAAGAATTGGATTTATACTGTGCCATTTCCAGAGGATACAAGGTGCTGTCCCTAAAGTCTAAGAACAAATTAAGAATTGTACTTTATTGTAGAGGTATGTTTTCAGGTATTTTTTTAAGAAGTTTTAAAGAACTGTATTCTTCATCTGTGTGGAGGATGTATTATGTTTTGAAGGAATAAAAATAGATTAGCAACATTTCGCTTTTTACCTTTAATATTCAGGTGTACTGCACGGTCCAATAACAATAGGGACTTTTAGATTTGCACAACGACAACGTGGATTGCTACGATCGACGTCCTTTTAATGCACTGCCTTGAATGGACGTCACACGTATCAGTCCACGCAAATCTAAAAGTCCCTAATATCATGCCAAATGGGGCATTATTGTAAAGGGGAATAGACCGACTTTTCAATGATACCACTATCAAGAGAGATAGGCATATCAAAGCTAAAAATTGAATTGCGAACCTTCTTTGAGGAGTTCATATCAGGGGGGGGGGGGGGGGGGGCGTTTCACAAAACTTGTCATCAGTGACAAATGACAGTTTTTGTTATAAGCTTCTGAAATCCTTGCCTCTGATTGGTTATCAGCAGATTTGTCACTGATTATTGTCAATCATCAATGGAAAAAGGCTTTGTGAAACGGGTCGCAGGTCTAATAAGATAAGAGGTATGATACAATCTCACTTTCACTCCGGATGTATCAATAATTGATTAATGTGTGTATCTCGATCAATACTTCCTGTTATTTGTCTATAATAAAAGACATTTCAATGAACAAAAGAAAGTAATGTCCATGTATCTTTGGGAAATGGATAGAGGGGGAAGAAATCATGAATTTTGTGTAAAGGAATTTTCTAAAGAGCCCTATATAGGAGCTCATCTCGGGCTTCAACAATGTTCATTAGGCCAAGTAGGACCTTCTTTCATTAACTCATTATCTATGGGTGCGTTCAAGCTATTTTTTGGAAGCTAGAATCATAAACATGAATCACAAATCAAAACGATGTTGAAAAACATGGTTACTGCGTAGAGCGTTTAGGCGATTTTCATCAATGCTGATTCTTGCTCATTTCAAGCCCAGCGACTGCTCATCACACTGTGCAGTTTGACACAGGGACTATAGGTCAACTTCGCCGCATGCTTTCTGAATTCGTTTAAGGTCGACTGTCAGCCAAACCGGAAGCAGGCCACAATTATGACGTTATAGAATCATGATTGAGATCTCCGTTCATTCAAGCGATTTTTAGCGACCGTGATTCTCCAATACAAAACGCATCTTTTTCAGCGTTTCATGTTTGCGTTTTTAAACACATTTATTTTTACAACCGACAAAAAATTGCCTAAAATTGCCTGAAATCGCTTGAATGCAACTGTGTTTTAAACTAAACGTCTTTCAAAACTACATGTATGTTTCTAGGGTGAAAAAGTGTCGCTTGAACGCACCCTTTAAAGATGAAGTTGAGTTCTGGTCATGCGATTGCATTGTGAAAGAAACGGTGCGGAACCGACCAGAAAAGGTTGATCATCTAGCATATAAGAATTTGTGTGTATTGCAAGGTTCTGGAATCATCAAAAGGATAAGAAATTTGGTCAAGTCTTGGTAAAGTTACAAACACTTGCACAGAAAGATGTATATGGGACTACACGAACACGTGGCGTAAAAAGCCGGCCCCCGATTTTTACGATGTTACATGCATATTTAGAATATGAAGGCATTTGAAGAGCCATGCTTTTCAGGGAACATGTCTTAACTGATGTTCTTCCACACTTGCATAATAAGAATGAGTAATGCTCACAAATTATTTTTCACCTCTTCCCAGAACTCAACCTTCTCTTTAACTGCCTTGGTTATGGCAAATGTGCTAATAGCCAATCAATTGCTGTTATTTCAGCAGCTTATAGCAATTACTGTAACTTTTTATTGATAATAAACATTACCAAACAGTGCCAAGAACCTACCATTTAAATGTTTACATTACCAATGCACACGTACCTGAATGCAATACCGCATCAGGAAATAAACCATATTTACATTCGTACAATGTACATAAGGATTGTGAATGACGGTTTGAATATAATTCCTCTCCAACATTCATGTTACACACTAGTCGAGCTTTCAACGTATTTTTTGTTTTTTGTGTGGTTGATTGTTGTTCCTGGTCAAAACCCTATGCACATGCCCTGCATAGATGGTGTGAATTCCATCGATTCCCCCCCCCCCCCCCCACATGCACATGTACTGTACAATATAGAATCACTATTCTACACCAATGTTCATGTTCTATACTTGACACACATAAATTGCATGTTACAGTTGTTGCCAATTAATGGAAATTTTTTTGGGTGATTGAAATTAATGTGCATGTATTCGATTAACCTTTATTATTAATACAAAATTTCAGGTCATATCCCTCTTGTGAATACTAAATTACACAATAATTCCGCTACTGTATACATACTGTACATTATGCAATACGCATACTATACATTACGCAATACGCATACTATACATTATGCAATACGCATACTTCAAATCATGTTCCTTTTTACTCGTACATGTACTTAATAATTCAGTCTGCAACATAACTTGGACAATGCATTTTAAGGAATGCTTAACAAAACAGCAGTTAGTAGATCAAATAAAGGATTGTCAAAGGTTGTTGATACAGTCCAATGACACAATGGTGACTACTAAAAATGACTAGAATGTCAGATTATTAAAAAACTAACCAATTCCTCTTTTTACCTTTGAGCAATTATGTAATGAATGGTGTCTAAGGGTACATGTCTACTGCATATTGAAATATGCAATGTATATTCAATTCAATTCATATTTACTTCATTTCCAACAGAAAGGTAAACAAATATTAAATGTTAATCTGAATAGAAACAGCTGACTAATAAATGGCAACCCTTGTAACATTTTACTGCTAAATTCCATAAATACCTAGATGTAGACAGAAGCGTTGTACATAAACAGCAGTAGTGGGTACAAGGGAAATCCCCTTTTTTGTTTCTGTGACTTTATCGGCATTGAAGTGTACATGTTTATATCTCTAACAAAGCAGGAAACAGATTTAGTTTGTTATTTCATGAGAAAAGGGATGTCATTTAAACAAGCAGGTGTATTGTTGGGAAAGGCAGATTTTGATGGAACATCCTTCCTTAATTCAACATTTTCTTTTTAAAAAAAGGTCTCAATGATGTTCTTAGAAGGATTATTGAAAGGTTTCAATGATAGCTTGATATTTTGTGATGATTATATTTGGATAAAATTTAAATGTGGATTTATGCAGTTCTAAGCCACCGTATCCTCCCACCCTTCCCCCGAGTCTAATTTGTTTAATTTTCAATCTTTGAAACTCTTCATGCATGTATAACAGTATGTGGCAGGGGAACACTACACAACTATTTATATTTATCACAAAAGAAAGAGAAATGATCAAAGGAGATGTTAGAAAAATAGGAATAAGAGAGATAAAAAGGAGACAGAAGAGGATGAAGAAAAGGAGGAAAAGAAGAAGAAATTAAAAAGAGCAAGAACTATTCACGTCATGGGGAAGAATAAGGGGGAAGAATAAGGGGGAAGAATAAGGAGGAAGAATAAGGGGGAAAAATGAAAACCGGTAAATAAAAGAACAAAAAACATGAATAAGATCAACAAAAACAATACAAATAAAAATTTCACCAAAATATATATAGATATAATAAAAAAGGCCTCAAATATTATAAATTTATAGTTGTTACTTACTCTTCTCTTTTCATACTGTCCACCGGTGCTACATAGTTACTAGGAATGTAGCCTTCCTTTCCAGTCTTTTGTGATCGAGCCAACCACCAATCGCCCTCACTAAACAAAATAAAAACAACAAATTAACGATAAAATCAGGTTTTTGTTGCCTTTACCCCCCCCCCCCCATGATTTATTGCATGCGTTATCATAAAATATGTCTAAAGCTTCTACAGTGTACACACCTTTTAAACAAATAATCTGGTCTTACCAATTATATTTAACACAACATACAGACAAATGGTTTCAGAAAGAATTATATACAATATAAGTGTGCTCTTGAATCAATAAACTAAAAGCAATTGCATACATTTAGATTCCCACAACAAATGTTTACAAAAATATGAGATAAAGTGGCTATTATAGGTTTGGAGAAAAGGGTAGCCTTGCAACATTTTTTCACCTGGCGAGATGTCTTGAAGCCTGTCTGTACTAGTTTGGCCAGGGGGGATTAGACATCCCTGTAAGGTTACTGACAAGTGGTTATGGTTATCTCACCAAATCAGCTCTCAATTAACATAAGAAAAAGGGGATCATGGGGGACCAACATGCACCGATTAGGCATTGCTTTCTATATAGAGGGAGCAAGTACTGAGCTACAAGTAGTACAGTGGGGCTTTAAAGAACAGGCTGTATTTAACAGTGCCACTGTATGACGAGTCACATGTTTAGATAGTAATCTTAACTTGTTTAAAATCCATTACAAGATTCATTATAATGACATGATTTTCATTCTAAAACTTCCTCCAATCTGTATTTTATTTGGTACATTCTCTGCTCTTTATCGAGGTTTACTTACGTCTTGGTGACATCCAAGATATCTCCTTTCTTGAAATCAAGATCGTCTTCTGATCTGGCATCATAATCATATAAGGCTGTGTACGGATGAGCAACTACATGGACAGAGAATAGATAGGGAATACATGTACATGTAGGTGTAACATCATCATAAAAGGCAGTATGAATTTGCAACTAAAGGTGTACATTGACATAGTATAAAGACAGATGTAAGGCAAACATCGCAAATTTCAAAATTAAAATTAACAAATGAGTGAAGCCTGCATCGTGTGGTAAAGTGCTCCTCCCGTTTCATACATGTAGACTATGGTACAGTGTTAAACAATATGTCCATTATCAAAATGGAGGCCACGTGTAAAGGAGATTCACACCACCTTTGCTTTAATCTTAAGAACCCACCTTCGCTATTTGTATAAGAGTAGGGGGAATCCCCGCTGAAGTGATCCACCTGCACACCCTCAGTCAGTTTAATATCGGGAGAGGCCCGAGGGTTATAAAGATTCAGTTCGCTCTTTGCCTCCCAGGCACAGGTGATGCCAAATAACACTCACATTCTTGTGTAGATATTTTTAGTAATAAAAAGTATGAGGGCACTACGTCTATTCAACTTAAAGGTGAAATGGTGGGGGGTATAAGACCAATAAGGAGGGAGGGGGTATAAGACCAATAAGGAAGGAGGGGGTACATGACCAATAAGGAGGGAGGGGGTATAAGACCAATAAGGAGGGAGGGGGTATAAGACCAAAAGGAAGGAGGGGGTATAAGACCAATAAGGAGGGTGTGGGTATAAGGAGGGGGGGGGGAGGGGGAATAAGACCAATAAGGAGGGTGGGGGTATAAGACCAATATGGAGGGGGGTATAAGACCAATAAGGAGGGAGGGGAGGAGGGAGGGGGTATAAGACCAATAAGGAGGGAGGGGGTATAAGACCAACGAGAGGGAGGGGGTATAAGACCAATAAGAAGGGAGGGGATATAAGACCAATAAGGAGGGAGGGGGGGGGGTATAAGACCAATAAGGAGGGAGGGGGGTATAAGACCAATAAGGAGGGAGGGGGTATAAGAACAATAAGGAGGGAGGGGGTATAAGACCAATAAGGAGGGAGGGGGTATAAGACCAATAAGGAGGGAGGGGGGTATAAGACCAATAAGGAGGGAGGGGGGTATAAGACCAATAAAGAGGGTGGTATAAGACCAGTAAAGAGGGAGGGTGGTATAAGACCAATAAAGAGGATGGTGGTATAAGACCAGTAAAGACGGAGGGTGGTATAAGACCAATAAAGAGGGTGGTATAAGACCAATAAAGAGGGAGGGTGGTATAAGACCAATAAAGAGGAGGGTGTATAAGACCAATAAGGAGGGAGGGGGAGGGAGGGGAAGGGAGGTCTAAAATTCCCTTATTTAGCTTTGTTTACCATTGGGATCATTTACATGTACATGTAACCACTGACCTACAAAACAAAATGTAGGTTCATGATGTAACCCTCTCCAGGGAGTGTTTCACAAAGACTAAGATCGACTTGAAGTTGGACTGAAGTACAAAAATGTATGACAGGCAGTTCATGCCACTGGTTGCTATCACCATTGGTCTTTCAATTATGATCTTTAGATAATATTTTTTCCTTCAGTAATAAACTATCAAAAAAGGTAAATACTGTAGATTTGTGACCACGTTTTGTACGTTCCTTGAGAAACCAATTGAGAACTAGTGGCATGAATGCCATAGTTAAGTCCAACTTAAAGTCGATCTTAGTCTTTGTGAAACACTCTCCAGGAGTGCAATAGACTGAGGGAGTACAAGGAGGTAGAAAAAGGGTAAACATGTAACTCCCACATGAGGGGGCGGGGCGGGGCGTGGCAGGGCGTGGCGGGAGGGGGGGGGGGTATTAAACTTACCTGCTTTTGGTTTGTTTGCCGGTGGTATGATCATACCCGGTGGGGCTCGATCAAACTGTGAAGTGCGAGATGTGTTGTGATCTGGGAACGATTGCTGATTGTGAGAGGGGGAAGTGGTCTGCCCCTGGCCCGGCCGGTAATTGTCCCCTTTGGATTTACTAGTACTATTAACACATCCCATGACTCTGCTCTAGGTGCTACAACATTCCAAGCCTGAGGAGGAAAGATGAAAAGAAGTGAAACTATTTAGGCCACGACATTGCAAAACACATTTAGATCCGCCCGTAGAGTATAAAACATGCTCGCTTACATTAGATTGTATCACCTGACAAAGTGTTGCAGCGGCGCACAAAACGTCATGATCTTTAGAAGCCTTGCCAACCATACATTGCGAGACAAATGGATACCACTAGTGATATTATTTTTGATACATTTAATATGTTGGTTCATTAAAAAGGAAATGTACAGTGTAATGTATCATAAAAGTAAGGCATTGAAAGAAATAGAAAAGATGCAAAGGGCAGAAGGGCACAGTTGGATAAAGTTAAAAGTTCTGGATCTAAATGTGTACTGTAAATATTAAAGGAATGAAACCACCACAGACACTGTGTTCACTGTTAACCCTTGAAGGCATCGTTTAACAATGTTCAATCTGAGATGCACGGCCCTACGTATTATCAGTGTCTGTGATTTGGTGTAATATTGAAGCCCTAAAAAAATTGCGCTTCAAAATGATCAATAAGTGCCTCAAAAAAGTAAAAATCTTTGAGTGACCGGTTTTACCATACTCGTTTCCCCCAATAGACTGTAGTGTTATGAAAACCGTTTGGTATTCGGTTTCCAAAATTTGTAATTCCAATCATAAATATCTTGATAAGCAGACAGGCGATCGGCTTGTAAAAGTCATGGGGTTCCTGACTGACCTAAAAGTTAATAATTATCATTGCGGCATGAGCTAAATCCAGGATTTTGTTTCAGAATCTGAGAAAAAGTTACCGGATCCCTTTAAAAGAGTTTAATGTGAACCATAACAATAATTTGTTTTTAAAATCTGAAACACCGGGATCCTCATTAAGTCCTCCAGGAAGACACTTCGTATTATAAGGAGTGCATTTTCTGACATATTTTTCATAATCGGAAGTGAAAATGTACACTGTACACCGAGTTATTACATGACAAGATAGATTAATGTATGATGGAGCCTGCAGGCTCCGCACACGATGTTGACACAGATCTCAACTAATGAAGGATCTGAAACGGCAAGGACACTCCCGTATCATCAATAACGATGATAGTGTGACTGGTGTCAGGGTGCGTTCATACGATTCTTTGAAGCTAGAATCACAAACGTGAATCACAAATCAAAACGCCGTTAAAAAACACGGTTACTGCGGGAGAGCATTCAAGCGAATCATCACGCTGATTCTCGCTCATTTCAAGCCCAGCCACTGTTCATCACACTGTGCAGTTTGACTCAGGAAGTATAGGTCAACTTCACCGCGTGCTCGACTGTCGGCCAAATCGGAAGCAGGCCATGATAATGACGTTATCGAATCATGATTGAAATCTCTGTTCGTTCAAGCGATTTTTAGCGACCGAGATTCTGCAGAATCACGATCCAAAACACATCTTTTTCAGCGTTTTTAAACACTGTTATTTTTACGACCTACAAAAAATTGCTTGAATGCAACCGTGTTTTAAATTAAACGTCTTTGAAAACCGTGTTTCTAGGGTGAAAAAGTGTCGCTTGAACGCACCCTCAGTCTACCGAACTTGAAGTGGAAAAGGTAATGGACATCGGTGTTGCTCGCTGAGTTTGCTAATGAACCTTCAGCAGAGATTTTCTTGGATCCGATGTATACCTTTTCTACACGACTTCAGGGGGGGCATTTCACAAAACTTGTCATCAGTGACAAATGACAGTTTTTGTTATAAGCTACTAAAATCCTTGCTTCTGATTGGTTATCAGCAGATTCATCATTGATTTTTGTCATTTGTCTTTGAAAAAATGCTTTGTGAAACAGGCCCCAGGAGGCTTGGATCCATATTATTGTCATCATCATCATTCATATGGAACTGTCACCTTACCCATAATTTTTTTTTCTCCAATAAACAGGAAATGTACATAATTCAAGTATTAAAGCCTGTAGGTATAAATGAACATGCATTGTGCATGGATATAGCGTATCAAGGGGGGGGGGGGGGGGGTTGGTGTTCACACCCCCCCCCCTCCCTTGGCAAACAGGGCATGTTAAAGACGCCCTTTATCTGTGTTCTATCTACGGCCTCCCCCCCCCCTCCCTGGCAACAACAAAAAAGTAAACATTTTTTTTCTTTTGGTAATTTGTGACTATAATGTGTTAAATATGAGATTTCCTATGGGCAGTTTTTATGTAATCACTTATATGTTGCAGCCGTAGTTCTTTGGGATTTTCCCACAGCATTTTTTCGTGATTCCCCAACGTAAATCACTCAACAATCCTGTATTATTTTCACTTTGTCTATGAATGCATACATGAAAAGCTGGCATTGATATTAACCAAGGCCCTTTGATTCTATTTCCTTCCTTCCTTGTACAGACTGACGTACATGTATAACGGCTTGACAATAGCATGTCTGGGAATTCAACGGGTTTACCTACGTTACGTTACATCCGCGCAAAGGAAAAGTGAAATCCCCAACTTTCATCCAAAGATGTTTCGCCCTAATGACCCTATCCAATGTCACATGCATGGTGTGTAAATCACTTTCATCTGCACTCTGCAGTATACACAAGTCACAATTAAATCATTTAGACCCTCACCAAGTTTTGTAATTTACACTTGCCTCCAAACACGCCAAAAAATGCCAAACAGGAGCCTGACCGCGATATTTCAGTGATGTAAACAGGGCAACTACGCTTTACCGGCAAAAATGCCAAGCCCGAAACATTCCAAACCGAAGTGTGATTTTGTTTGTGTATTTTGCAAGTATGAATGCTCGCAGCTGAAACATCGCGATGTTTGTCACGTGACTTTAGGAGTGAGGCTAGCTTTCGTCCTTGAGGCCTTATTTGGATAAAGTAAACAACTTGCTTATGCTGAACCTCTATGAAAGAGTCCCAGCTACCTGTAAAATCTTGCTTTAGAAACCACATCGGGAAGACCGCACATTCGCATTACCAACCAAAACATGCCAAAACATCACGGAGCTTTTTAGTCGGCGATGTTTCAGCACAAGTGTAAACGGGAGCGCAAAACATCGCAATTTTTTTTAATGAGGTACCGGTATTTGACAGTAGAAATGTGCCTTATGTGAAAACTTGATTTGTCCCTACCGGTATTTATGTTTCTTGAGAATGTGACAAGTTAAAGCTGACATCCAAAAGTATTCAACCAAAATGTTTATTCAACCAGATTGGTTTCATTCTTGAGTTCCAAAAAAACAAAACAAAAGTCAGATTTACATACAAATAATTTAGTTGGTGTATACATGTACATATACGTACTACAAACTGCACTACATGTATGTAGTGTACTGCCCATTAAGATTTTTGGTCCATGAAAGTGCACATACAATACATGTACATGCCCTCTAGATTTACTAAAACATATCTGAATCATGTTTGAAATGTAAGGGTTATTGTACGCATTACATGAGAAATTACATACAGTAATTGGGACATCGCTTGTTTATAAAATTGTAAGTTTTGGAATGTATTTAAGGGTGAGATTTAAATACATTATTTTCATTCAACAACAACAAAATAAAAAAAATTAAACATCATGTTTTGATTCTTGATCTCATTCTGTATCTATATATTTTCTTTGAAGAATATTATTTTGACAACTTCATCTCTCATCCCCCCCCCCTTTCTCTAACTTGTTTTCTGTTCTGTTTAATAAATTCATATATCCTTCTATTTCAAATATTATTCATAAATTAGTGTCCAGAAGGAACTTCAGACATACATGACCTGCATGTACACTTATGGACGTTTAGACAGGTGATTACATATTATGCATCATGCAACCTTGCCTTATACAGTACAAACAAATGTAACTCACGAAAACAAATGTAAACAGTCTAAATCATTCTTACAGTATACTGCTTTCTAACTGGCTTTGAACTATCGGAGTCACACCGATGAAAATACCGATTGAATTTTCCTTATGTAAACTAAGGTGAAACCGCAGTTTTCCCCATGTCGTTTTCTAACTGCCGGTGAAATTCACTCGCTGTGGCGAGCCCTTGCCGGAAGTGAAGAATTATTGCGTAATTGTTAAGCCCGCGCTCCATCTAGCTAGCATGCAGCATGTTCAACCATAAGTCAACAAACACAGCTGGTTACGATAAAGCGCGCGTATACTGCGACCTTTGACCATTTTAATCGCTGTTTTAATCGCCTTTTTCTCCCGAACGTTTTCTAACTGGCAGTTTCATCGGTGTCACACCGATAGAATGAGAATTTCTCCTGCTCTTGAGCAGGAGAATTTGATCGCCCATTTCTCTTCTTTTCATCGGCTATTTAATCGCCTTTTTCTCCTCTGTTGCTTTCTAACTGCCAGTGTCATCGGATGCGTCCGGATGCATCCGATGAAGATCAGTGCAGTTAGAAAAGGGTATTAGAGAAAAAGATTTTGAGAAAAATAATTTCCACTATTTCTTGCTATTCAATCAGAATGTCCATACATTTACATGTACGTACAGTACATTAATTAACCTAATGTTTTTAAATTACAGATCGATCAATCGATCTTATTTACTGGGTGTAAGCCACAAATATGTTCAAACTATTGAAATTTCTCCCAGGAAGCATTACATTTACATGTATACAAAAAGTTATTGTCCTATGGCGGACTAATGAACATTAATACTGTAAGTCAGAATGAATCAGGAGAGCTTGGGTATTTGTTTCTAATTCATCCTGACTGTACCAAGTACCATGGACCAGTGATGGCCTGGTGGTAGAGTCGTTGCCCGGCAAGCAGTAGATGGCAGGTTCAAATCCCGCTGGTTCCAAGATTTTTTCTGACTTGTGTTTCAATAACAGATCGATCAATCAATTTTATTTACTGGGTGTAAGCCACAAATATGTTCAAACTATTGATATTTCTCCCAGGAAGCATTACATTTATACAAAAAATAATTTAATTACCGTAATTAACGTTGTATAAACTGCCCTTGTGTACAAACCGCACCCCTCTTTTTTGCCCTAAAAAAAAAAAAAAAAA